GCGGCGGCGTGGCCGGCAAGCCCCGGGGGCCGGTGAAGCGCAAGCGGAACCCGCTGACGGAGGAGCAGAAGTTTGCGCGGAAGATTAGAAGTAGGAAGCTGGTGCTGGAGAAGCAGCTGCTGCGGGAACAGCAGCGGCAGCAGCAGCAGCAACAGCAGCCCACGGGCCCCCCGGGGGCAGGGGGGGGGAATGCCGCTCCCACCGGGACCCCTCCGCTCCCCCCCAGCTTCGAGGGCTTGAACGCGGCGGGAGGGGGGAAAGGACGGAGCGGCGGTCTATCGGCGTGGAGGTTGGCCTTGAAACGACCGCTGGAAGAGCTCACCCCGAAGGAAAGGGCCTTGGAGAAGGTCTGCAGGTACCTGGATAAGTTCGGGGACATGTTCTCGCCGCAGGCGCAGCTCAAGGCAGCGGCGGAAGCTCGAGACAAAGACAAGGTAGGGAGAGCCGCTTGTCGTGGTGCCTGGGAGAGGGTTATGATGTGCGTTGTTTGTCAGTGGGTGCTCGCCTACGCGTGTGCTTCGTCAGTGAATGATTTTTATATGTGTTCATGGCGGTCTTATCTTGCGTTTTCGGCTTTTTTGTGTTGGCGTTCTTCGTCCCAGGCGGCTATGCTCGGCGGGAGGGGCCACAACAACGCCCCATCTGCACCTGCGGCGGCCGCGGTGCTGGGACAGACCGGGCTGTGGGGGAGCCTGATGGGCGCGCCGGCAAAGGTTGAGGAGGAGACGGAGAGCACGGACGGCGAAGACGAGGTACGCAGATGTCTACCTTGCTTTTGGCGTTCTTTTTGTCCAAGTATCGGTGGGAAGTAAGCTTGACCCGTTCATCTGGACCGATGTGCTTGCAGGAGAATCGTGTAACGCTTGTACGAAGATAAACAGGTTTTTGTTGTATCCTCGTATGAAACGACAAGATTTGAGGTTTCTCTAAGGGTGACCAATACTGGTGTTGTACTTGGCGCTTCTAGACGCTCTTTACGTTGGTCGCGGATGAAATGGTTTTTGGTGTCTGCTGTGGTGTCTCTCTCTCCAGAGGTGAGTACCGTATCACTTGGTTTTTTCGTCAACGCCGTCTATCTCTCGTTTCCTTCCCCCCCCCTCTCTGCTTCCGCCCACCCCCTCGCGTTGCCCGCTTTTGACAACGTCCAAAAGGACATCGGCATGATCGACTCCGAGGGGCCGAACAAATGCGCTGACCGCAAGGCGGCGCTCCGACGGCAACAGGAGATCCTCAGAAAGGACATCGAGAACTTGCAAGCCCGCGCGGTCCTCCAGGTATGTGGGCATCCATCGAGCGGGAAAATGTTGTCGAAGTTTGCGGGGTCTCTGAAAAATGACGTACGTAGCGCTCTCGGGATGGTGCTAGTCATAACCGTTGCTGCTGGCTTCTGTCGACTGCAGGAGAAAAGGCTGAACGGGCTGGGAGCGGCCATCCCTCCGCACGCCGCGCGGCAAGCGAAACGGGACCGGGAGTGGAGGGAGTTCCTCGACAGGCGGACAAGCGACTCCTCCGCCGCTACCGCTTCTCCACGGCCGTCGGCTTCTGAGGGGGTGAGGCTTGACGTGCGTTCTCATCTTGTCTGCGGTATGTGTTGTCTTCTCGTCGGGAGTCGTCCTGGCCCTCACCCTGGGTCTGGGGGTGTTGGAAAACGTGGAACGTTCAGCGCCCCGCTTGGTAATCTCTGCCGGTTTCCCGGACAAGCGGATTTCACCGGTTGGAAAAAGTGGAACTTTTCCGCGCCCCACTTGGTAGTCTCTACCGGTTTCCCCCGACATTTTTCGTACCAAGTAAATTTTTGTTTTCTACGACTGCTGTGAACCATTTTTTTCTTGGAATGACGTATGTGGAGACGCAACAAGCAGCGGTTGGCATGCGGGCTCGCGGTGTTGGGCAGCTGCAAGTTCTGCCCCTGTCGGCCTTTCTCCGCGTCTGTACATATTTTCGTGTCGGGAGGCTGCTTGTCTACTACCTCAGTAGCTTTGTTGTCTTCCGAGCCTTCGGAACACCCATCTTGTGGCGGTGAACGACAATATCAGCGATTGCGCTTTTCTCCAACCGTTCCTCTCTTATCCGTGTCCTACCATGCCCCGCGGCACCCCGTTGGGTGTATGGCCTCCAAATACACAAAACCTCGGCTACACCGTATCTATCACATTTTCGTCAATCTAACGCGTGCTTTTTGTTGCTGGCGCCCCCCTCTCTTGTCTCCCCAGAGCGCGAAACACCCTCCAGCTTCCCCCGCCGCCAGTGGGACTGCCGTTCCTGCCTCCTCCGGTGCAGCTGCCGCTGGGACATCTCAAGCCACCCCTTCCTCTGCTAACGGGGGCGACTCGGCCTCATCTCCTGGTTGCTCTTCGTTGTCTCGCGGGAGCGGTGACCGGGGAGGCGGCGCCGCCGGCGCGAGTTCTTCTTCGCGAGCGTACGGGAGTTCGGCGTTCCGCGGCGTTAACCTGAACGGCAACCGCTGGTTGGCGCGCATTTCTCAGGCAAGTGGTGTGACAAAGCAGAGAGAGGCCTACCGCGTCAGTTGTGGTGTCTACGTCACACGGCGGCACGTCGCGGCCTAAATTTCTCTCACAATTGTATGTGGATAAGAGACTAACGACGGGTGTTGGAATAGATCAGAATGCCTCCGAGGTATTACGTTTTTAGGAGATGATGTATGTACACTGATCATATTCATCACGTGGGTCAACGCGAGGAAGGAAGTCGATGGACTCTGTTTGGTGTGGCTTACTGGTGGCTCTCGAACAACCGGCACTCGCCTATTTAGCTGTCTTTAGCGTGGCACACGCGTACGAACTTGACGCAGGGACGGATCTATATTTTTTTTTCATAGGAGGCATGTATACATGTATGGTATGTCAAAACCCTGGGTATCCTTTTTGTTAAGCTACGTCCATATGCCTTGCACATCTTGTGGAAATGCCGCAGTTTTTTTTGTTACCAACTGTTGGGTGTTTTTTTTTCTGATTTTTCTTGTTAAAATCGTCATCCGTGGCTGCCTTTTTCGCGCCAACAGGACGGGAAAAAGAAGAGCCTTGGCGGTTACGCCACCGAGGAGGAAGCGGCCAAGGCCTACGATCGCGCCGCCTTGCAGCTGTTCGGGCCTGGCGCCGTGACCAACTTCAAGGACGGCAAGCGGGTGCAACTAGAGGGGAGGAGTCAACGAAGCGGCGGCGGCGGCGGCGGGTCCGGGGGGGCGTGCAAGCCCAAGCCTTCCCCGGCAGCCAGGCCGGTAGACGCCGCCAAGGAGCCGGTCGAACGACCACGCGAAGAACAAGACAGCGGAGACGCGGTAAGCAGCCAGGAGGCATGCTCGACTCCGGCTAAGCCGCCGGTTGCCAGCCCGGAGAACACACCCGACAGTCTTGAAACCCCGAAGGAGGCGGTGGCGGCGGCATCTGCTGAGGAAGCCAACGGCGGTGCTTCGGCTCCCGAATCCGAGAACGTCGACATCGGCGGCAGCACACCAAGCGACCCCCTTTTAGAGGTGGGGGCAGCTGACCACGCTGACGAAGAGGAAATGGACGTCGTCACGCCGGCGGCGGCGGCGGCAGCGGTGCCCTCTTCCGAGAAGGTGGTGCCGTCGTCGGCGCCGGAGTCTTTGTCCGAGCCGGGCGTGCCCCCGGGGTACGTTTCCGTCTTCCAGGGTCACTCCGCGCCGGTGGTTGCCGCTGCCGCGGCTTACGCCCACCCCGGTTTCGCGCCCCCGGCGCCCGCGGGCTCTGCGGACACCGTCATGTGGCCGGGGCCAGCTCCGGCGGGGCACCCGGGGTTCAACCCTTACGGCGCGGCCTCGGTGGGCAACGCGTACGGCCTGCAGTACGGCGGGGCGCCCGCGGGGTACAGGCAGGCGCAGCACTCGCCCACCGGCATCGCCTCGGGGCTGGCAGCGGCAGCGGCGGCGGCGGCGGCGGCGGCCGCTGCGGCCGAGCACAACCAAGCGCTCATGAACGGCAAGGGGCCACCGGCGGCGTACTCGGCCGCGGCCCCGGGCTACGGGATGTACGGCGCACACCCCGTGTTCTTCCACGGGCAGCAACCGGGGTCGTCGGACGGGGCTTCAGGCTTCGCCCTGTCCGCGCCATCGGCGATGCCAGGGATGCCGCAGCAGCAGGGGGCTCAGCAGGACCACAAGTCTGTGAACCCCCCGCCCAAGGCGCCGTCTCCGCTCACCGTCGCCGCCCCTTCGTCCGGCGGCGCTGCCGGCCAAGGGTACTCCCAAGCGGCGCTCGTGAACATGCACGCCCAGCAGCAGTACGCCCAGCAGCAGCAGCAGCAGCAGCAGCAGCAGCAGCACAGCCAAGGGGGGCACCTGAACGTAGCGCAGGCGGCGGCCGCGGCGCAGGCCGCCGCGGAGTGTGGTGGTCCCGGCAGCCCGGCGAGGTTAATGTACGCAGCGGCGGCGGCAGCGGCAGCGGCGGGGGGGGCAGCGGGTGGCGTCTACGCTCACGACGCCGGGGGTGCCGTGCATCACTACTACCCCGGGGGCGCAGGCGCGGTGCCCCTGGTGGCGGAGCAGAGGCAAGAGCGGCACCAGGCCCTCGCGCAGCAGCGGCAGGAGGAGCTGACGCTCGCGGCCCAGCAGAGGTTCTACGACGAGTACAGGCGAGCCAATGGTCTCGAGTCTCGCGGGGGCCAGGCTCCGCGCTAGAGTGCGGAGAAACGAGGTGGTGAGAGAGAGGATCTTAACCGGCATAGTCCGACTAGGGTTCTTTGGCGATCACGGCGCTCGAAAGGGCGGTTTGGCCGCGCACGAGCTTGACTCCCTTTGTCGGACCAGGCTTGTCGAGAGCTTGACCGCCTTAGTGTGACCGGGGTCTTCGGCTATCGCAGCGTCCAAAAGGACGGATAGGCCGCGCAAGACGTGAAGTGTGTTGAGACGAAACTGGCCCCGTGCGCGGATGACGCGTGTGTGTGGACCTCCCGGCAGTTATCGCACGGATTCCAACTCTCGGTGCGATTTGTTGCCCGAGAATTGCGAGAGCGCAAGGGGAGCAAACGCAGCGCTGCGGCTGACAGCATAGAGGGGTTGCGTCAAGCGTAGAGATGAGGGGGGGCACGAGGGTATGATCGTTAGTGTCGTGCCTCTCTTGAGTATGGGTAGCACGGTTAGAGTAGGAGGGGCCGTGGAGCCTCCTGTCTTTAGCAGCAACACACCGCACGCAGCAGTATATACAACGTGGCAACGCTTCGTTGGCCTGAGGGCAGCGGAAAACGGAGCTCAACACGCCAGATAGAGAAATATTCAAGGCGACACAACAAATGTCGGTATAGATGATACCGCTGTAACTGTCGTGAGAATTAGCAGCTTATTATGTATTGTGCCGGGCAGGCGATCGGTTAGTGTATGAACGAACGAACGTGGTCTTGATGTGTTTGACGGCTGAGAGGCTTTCGATGTTTTTTCGATTACTTGTAAGTGATTTTAAGGGTGGTGGTGTTTGTGGTTGCTATCTCTAGGGGCGGTCGCCGTTGAGTACGTAATGTACCGTGGTGTTGCTGTTTGACTCCACGCGTCGGGAGGGTAGAAAGAAGACCTGATTTCTTGCGAAAATGGTGGACAACGACGCACCAAAAAATGTAGCGTAGCTCAGTCGGGCGCATTGTGGCGTGGCTCGATGTTGAAGCGTATTCAGTTGTACTTCACGGGCACGTCAATGCAACCGCAGCAAGAAGAGTGGTTCAGCGTGCTCGGTTTCGCTTTCGCGTGTGTTGGGGTTCTCGACATCCCCCCGTGTGTATGTTCATTTGTGTACTACTGCTGCTGTAGAGGGGTTTTGACTTCAATACCATTATTGTACAAGCCTACTCTGTCTGATGACGGCGTTTCGAAAATTTAGCGACACGTTTGGCGTTGTTCGTCTCGATGCTCTCTGTTGTTGTTCTTGTGGTGAAAACAACGTTCCCAGCACAGCCTTAGTCTTCCCTCGCCGTAAAGCTCCTCCCGACATGAGAGAGCTGGGAGAGAACGTGGAGGGAGGAGAGCGACATGATGAGGCGTGCCTTCGGAAACGGAGGACTGGCGAGAGAGAAGGGGCACAATAGAATAAGGAAATAAATAGCTACAGCAGTGTGCCTTGTCAGCGGATTTTTTCGTTGTACTGCATGTCAACATCACTGCAACGAATCGCGTTAGTTTTTTATCGATGAACAGCAGCACCAGTCGATCTGTTCGGTTGCTTCAACGCTGAAGTCGTGTTGACCCCGAAGACGTAGGAAGGAGAACTTTAGGCCTAGACTTCTTGCGAACTTCCTCCTCGTGGCTCGTTCTATGCACAAAAAACATTCCAACTTGAAACTTTCGGCACTTATTTATTTGCATAATTATATGCCTACTAACTGCGCAGTCTACATCCCTCCGTCCAAACATGAAAAAGGGACGCTATTTATTCCCTCGGTCTGTCTGTGGTGCAATGGCACGAGGAGAGGAAGTCGGCAGTGAGAGTAGATGAGCATTATTATTAGCATTTCGTTAGTGTCATTATCAACCTTCCATTCACGCGGAACATCTTGCTTGCTGTTTGTTGTATTGTATGCACACTACGTATGTAATACAAAAAAGCACGGGGGTGATGATTGGGGGAGGATGTTTTCCGAAGACATTCACTCGTTGGCTTTCCGACTCGGAGGGGGGGGGGGGCGGACTCTTACGAGTTGTGAGAAATCCGCGGGTCATCACTGCTGGGGAATTTTGAATTTTGCCTATCCTGGAAAGTGAAGCTCTTTGGATTATCTAGGAATTTGAATCCAAGTGTAAAATAATCACCCTACAACACACAGCAGTAAACGCCCTGGATGCAGCAAGACGAGCCAGAGAGAAGCGAGAAGCACAGGAAGGAGTCTGTTGTTGTGGATGATGGATCATACCTTTTTGGGACGGGGATTTGCGGATTTGACAACGAGCCAGAGAGAAGCAGGAAGGACTAGATACCTTTGGGGGGGGAATTTGCGAATTTACCGATCATAAGGTTCCACAATGTATTTAGTGAGTGGTGCACGTTGCTCTTTTCGGCGTACGGATGGATGGGGGTGAGACACACAAGAAGAAGAAGCAGAAGAAGAGGAGAGCTGACGACAAAGAAAGAGAGGTGGTGAAAAAAAAAATAGGTGTTTGTTGTTGACACCTCGGCTTTGGTGCGTTCCGACAACAAAGAGAGGATGATTAACTGATGTCCAGAAAAATGGGGATGACAACACACTCATCGCCATCACCGCCGCCCCGTCTTTTATTTAGCCTGCAAAGATGTTTTCTCGAATTCCAACGAGCGGTCCATCTATCTATATATATGATCCATGATGAGCTACATGATGGTGCCTAAGAATTGAAAACCAAAATAAACCTGTGCCTGGGTGCAGCACTGAAATGAACTTGAACACGCACTCCTAGGTACCCCTTACCACCACGGAACCCCCAGCGAGTGAAAAAACAAAACGAAAGCTGTGCACAGCAGGCACAAGACACAGACACACTAGAAGGCCGGCGAGCCCCCACCACCACCGCAACAACGAGGGAGAGGGCGATCGCCTGGTTGCAGCACCTCGGCTCAACGTCGGGGCTCGAAAAGTCGCGCCGAATGCCCCCGCCCCGCCGCCTCGCTAGAATCTGCTCTCGACACAACAAGTCTAAAAAAACTAAGAACGCGGGAGAGATCGTTTGGGGTGACTCGAAAAAGAGACGACTTTTAGTCGCTTGAATGCCTGCCACCACTCCCAGAGAGAGAGGAGCAAGGCGTGTCCGCACGAAGGCAGCTCAGCGGAGGCCATCCGGGGGTAGCGACTCACTGGCTGCCTCGCATGCGGAGCCGGCGCCGGCGTTCAACGCGGGCATCAACCCGCTGTACGGGTCGGGGATGTCGCCGGAGGCGGGGGCAGAGGCAGCGAGAATAAGGTCAGCGACGGCAGCGAGAGAAGCATCGGCGGCATCATCATCATCATCGCAACCGCAACAACAACCGCGGGCGGCCGCCGCTGCGCGGGCTGCTCGCACCCGGGCCGCCTCCCCTCAGTCGACCCTCACGGCGTCAACGACTCAGAGCACGGGAAGCGCGAGGCTTGCCAGCAGGCCGCAGGGGGTAGCTGCTCCTGCTGCAAAGGCAACGACGACAGCAGGAGCGAAAAAGCAGCCTCAGGAGACGAGGAGCGCGCCGGCCTCCCGCAACGGCAGCATCAACAAGGGCAGCAGCGGCAACAACAACAACAACAACAACAACAAGGGGGACTTCGTGCCGGCCCCGCTGGTGCCCGCGCTGCTGGCGCCCGTGCCGCCGCCGCCGGCGAAGCGGAGAGCCGCGGCGGACGTCGAGGCGGGAGAAGCCGGAGAGGTGCTGGAGGATGCCCCGGACAAGACCCTCATGGAGATGCTCCAGACGTACCTCAAGAAGCAGGACCTGTACACGCGGATCGTGCTGGTGGTGGTGCTGCTCGTGCTGGCCGGCGGGGTGCTCGGGGCGTACGTGGTGATGCTCTGGTCCGCCATCTCTGAGGAGAGCGTTAAGTACACCGTGCTCGTGTCTGTCTTCAGCGTCGTGCTCTTCTGGGTTCTCTGGAAGGTACGATGAGAAAAAATGAGTACTCACTGGCGTTTTGTTTTTGTTACTGGAATTTAGAGTTTGCGGATGGGCACACACTAAAAGGTGAAAGAGGAAAATTGTAGTTTGATCATTATCCGCTGAACCTGCTCCGAGCTTCAGCATATGGAATGATGCCATGAACCCCACACACGCCTCTGCTGTGTTGATGGCCTTCGAAAGCGTGACTCGGTTGTCGAACTCTTTTGTCCCCCGGGCCATCAATACAACCCTGTCGAGCAAATCACCCCATAGCCTCCTTCCCTCTTTTATTTCTTTTTTTTTCGCCAGCTGTACCGGTATGTAAATACCCTCAACATGTTTGTACGTATAGGAGAAACGAGCTTGACTTTTTGGCCTGTCTTGGCATGGCACGTGATATGCGGCTGCCAGAGGCTCCATAGTTTGGGGAAAGAGGGGCCAATTATGGGCGAATTGTCTGCTGGGATGCTATTGGAGTATTTCTCTTGTTGGGACGACGGGCAGGGGGGGCTTTTTTGTGACAGGTGCAGCGTCATACGCATAACCTATAATAGGTGAACGGTATCTAGTTACCCCTTGCGGTTTGTTTTTCGCGGCTTCTCTCCGAGGTGCGTTGGGCGTCGAAGCTGGCTGTCCATGCCATGCTACATACATAGCGCCAGGATGCAACACACAGCCGATTGGAGTCCTCTTCTTATCAGCTGCTAGGGTAGACAAACGTATTCTACCCCTCTAACACCAGTAGCTGGCCTGTACAAATGGCCTATGTATGCTAGGTACAAGCTACGCTGGTACGTCGTCGCTGCTTTCAACGATCAGGCCCAAGTGATGTACCATGCTACAACGGATTTATTGGTCCATCTACAACCCGTCCACGCACACATGGGTGTATCCGTTCATTTTTTTGCCGGTGGTGCTACGGGGTGCATCTCGTGTAATGGCCCGAGACACGCGCGTGCTGCTGAAGATATCCTCTTGATGTGGGAAGCATTACAATAATGGGTAGTCTTTATGTGTGTGTTTTTATTATTCCTTAATATTATGACCCCGCAGCGGCACCAGCAGTTATTTTTTTTTTTTTTTTCTTAATATGACACAACGAATCCATCTCTATTATAGAAAAAGAGTCTGAGACAGATTAGCAATGAATTCATAGCGTCAGAAAGTACCTGTGTCTACGGTTTCCCAGATAGCATATTTTGTATTGTTGTTTCTTGTCAGCAAACAAACTCGGGATGTCTATGTGGTCTCTCTCTTCTTGGTGTACGTTTGTACTCATGTTCAGTCCGGTAGGATTCATGGCTCCGTGCTGTATCCTGGTATATGCACGTGTGCACTCTTACAGTAGTACTTAAGTTCGGTGGCGGCCGGGTTCCTTCGTTGCCACCGATCATCCGGGAACGCATGATGCCAACTGCGACGTGTACTACTGCTGTACATTGTAGATGTGTAAAACATTTAATTATTCTGCCTTGATCATAATAATGGTATGCCACGCCAAAACACACTTCTGTTGAGAAAGCCCCTCTTCCGTTGACAACATTACACCCCCCATGCCGCATCTTTACGAACATTAACTGTTTGCTGCTGCTGCCGTTCATTGTAACGTGTCGTGTTAGAAGGCTTTGAAGTATTATCGCATGCGATGTATGCATGTTATTTCACACAACAGAGCAAAAAAGAATATTGTACAGAAATGTAGTTCGCGGCAGGTCAGGAATGGTACTCGTTTTCACTTTTCCTACCGCTTGATTTACAGCAGTGTAAAATTGCCAGGTACCCAACTTGCCTGTGTGCATTGTGTATTGTAGTGTTGTATGCATAGCTACTCCGAGACAAATTCTCGTTCAGAGACATCGACGGGAAGAATGTGCAAGTATTGACAGCACTACACAGTTGACCTACGGAGTTGCTGGCTGTACCGAGTCTGAATGGTCCAACCACTGAGGAACCGGTGAATCCAGCTATATGCATAGCTCCCCCCACTTTTTTTTTTTTTCCGTCCGCCCTCTGCACAAGACGTCTTGGATGAGACAGACACACATCCTAGTGACACAAGACACACGTCTAGGTCAAGCTCATGTCCTACAGCAAGACGTCTTGGATGAGACAGACACACATCCTAGTGACACAAGACACACGTCTAGGTCAAGCTCATGTCCTACAGCATGTAGTACTACACTGCACGCTGGTTTGACCTGTTGTGCATTCCTTTCTCTTTTTTTGTGGTCGAGCCATGTGCCATGTATTTGTGACCCGCCCCTCGGGGTCTCCATCTATTATGTATTCCACAGCAGCCTCTCTCCTGTTACAATGTACAAGTATAATTTAGCAGTCCGTTTTTTTAGCTTTACTGCTGCACCGTGCACGGGGCATCTATTTTTACAAATGCAGTAAACATCGATAGAGTGAGTGCCCTCCCGGAAGTCGTACATGTAGAAACAAAACGAAACATACACTAATAGAAAAATGTACGTACGTGATTCACACATCAAAGGAGAGTTGTATCGGGTACGCCGCAGGAGAACGAGTGTTGCGTTGACCCAATTTGCACCTATGCATAGCTAATTGCTCTAACTCGGTCAATATTTCAAGTAAAAAAAGGTGGAACGGGTACGCCCCCCCCGCACGCACAGAATGTTCCGTGCAACTTATGGATACCGCAGCGCTACTGCCGAGGCTTAGTGCATACTCATTCTAGAGCCGCCGTAATTTATTCCGGTCCTGGCCGATGAAATTCTTTGGCAGCAGCAGCTGCTGCAGATCTCGTGCGCACTTGTTACTGCCGAGGTGCTCCTCCTGTCAGTCCTGGTGTGTGTTTTCTACAGCTTCTCTTTCCCCCTTTCATTGTCGCGTGAGGATGATCGAATTCCACGGTCACGAATAGTCTCCTATGCTCTATTACCGAGGCATGTCACCACACTGAAGATGAAAATGAAGGTTGCCCTCTCATCCTGCATTGCACTTCTTGGCACGGTGCTGCGGCAGTCAGATCTGTTTGTGTTGGGCACTGCTAGATGTAGAACGATCGCCCATGAATGCCTGCGTATATTTCTGCAACGAGCGTGTGCGCATGAGGTCGCCCAGCCGTCCCCCGCACTCTGTTTTTTGCAACCATGTGCATCACAACCCCCCCCCCCCCCTTTTTTTTTGTCAATTCTTTTGGATAAAATAGTCCCCAGAACATAGCATATTGTGAATTCATCTACCGTGCTAAACATACACACGTGCTGTCAAATTGTCTGCTGCTTTGCTCCAACTACAGTATTGCTTCAGCGGCGATCAGAAGCTTCAGGATCAGTCTCAGATCGCGCAGGACATCGCCACCCTGTACGCCGCGATACCCGATCACACCGCCGTCAAAGGTGTTTCGGAGAAGGGCCGGGCGCAGTTTACGGACTTCAAGTACGAGAAGTCGGAGGTGGGTCTTGGTATCCCCCTAGTGCCAGGTGGCGACGGAAAGAGAGGGAGGAAGGCGACACGCTGTCTTTCTCCGCCGATCCCGCTCGCTTGATGTCGCTGCTGTTGGGAAAGAAGTTGTGGATTCCGTCGCTCCTCGGGGTCGTTGTTGCGCTAATTTCGTAGGTGTGTAGACTTGTACATCTCGTTTGTGAGCGGGGGTTCCGTAGTTTCATAAGTGGGGTTGCGGGTGCCAGGTGACATCGACCGAGTCGGAGTGATTTCTTTTAGGAAGGAAGAGTTCCGAACGCTTTTATCGGCTTGGGGGGGGGGGGGGGCAGGCGGCGCGATGCCCGGGCGGCTTGGCCAGCGTTGGAGTACGTTGGACCATCTGCCCGATGTTGTACGATTGGGCTGCCAATGCTTGCTTCACCGACGATTCGCCGCCGCCGTTTAAGCGAAACGCAACAGTGGGCTCTCGAAGCAGCCCCTCCGGATTGGTCGTCACGGAAATCTTCTCCCGCAGTCATCCCTGTCGCGATCCTGACCTGTGCTAGATACGGGGAGGGAGGGGTATCACTTAACATCGATTCGCGGGCATGGTGTAATGAAGTGGGGCGGGCTCTTTAGATTCCCGGTTTTGTTCAAGAGGCATGATTCCTCCAGAAGGATAGTACATGTTGTCGACGTGCAGATTATGAAGCTGAAGCAAGACACGAAGTTAACCCCCTCCCTCACCCCCTCGCTTTCAGATGATGTTCACTGCTGTGACGGATGACGGGGTGAGTCTGGGGTCCGAGCGGGGCTCAGAGCTGATGATGGACGGAGCTGACCCTTCCTGCCCGCTGTGCAACAAGTGAGTGCTCTCGTTTTTTTTTTTTTTTTTTTTTTTTATTGCTTTTTTTTTACAGAATTGCGAACGCTGGTGTCTTTTTTTTTTGTCATTCTGAGAGTTGCCACTGAAGGAGTAAGCTGCTTGTCTGGTGATGTTGCAGCGTCGCGCTGGCGAGAGCGCGCGGTAGTTTCATTGCGTAGGGACGGCGCATCGAAAAGCTGTTTGGTGTCGCGTGTCGCGTGTCTTCTGCGGTACAGTGATCTGTTCGACTACAATTCTCGTGGTTGCAGTGTAAGTTCGGGGAAGATTTTTTTCTTGTCGTTGTCCATGGAAGTTGCCATCGAGACACACCCGGATCTTGGAAGAACCTGGGATTCTGCATGAGGCGTTGCTGGTGCTGTCTTGAAACTGCGAGGGGCTCTCGGGAGCAAGCAATAGTGCAATTCAATTGCTCGTTCGTTGTAGACGGTCACTGCTGTATCTGTGACCTCAGAGCAGTTCTTGGTGTTGTCGAGCGCACGCTCGCGTGAGGTCGTCATTGTTGATGGCCATGAGTATCCACCATGTTGACGTGATCCACGAGACCGGCAAAGATTCAGAACCGGTTCAAGTCGTAGATGCGTCGACAACTACGGTGGGAACCCGGCCCAAAAGCGTATCTAGTAGGGCCACCCAAGCGTTCGTGCCGGTTGACATTGTTCCGAATTCGGCACTATTTAGTCACTGATAACCCGTTCTTTGCGTGATATCACTGATCACCCATGCGTCGTGCGGAGAAGGCTTTGGTCTAGATGACACTTACCTGGCCGCGTGACACGACAGTTTATTTTTGAGGGCTGGGATAACCTGGATGCCTACAATATCTGCATGTGCGACATTTCAGACTGCGCGTGCGCCCCACTGAATTGAAACTTGACCCCGCCTGGTCTCTTAACTCGCATGGCCCTCTTTCTCTTGTCTCGCTATTCTCCAGAGCGTACGTGGAAGGGGCCGAGCTATGCCTCCTCCCGTGCCTGCACGTGTTCCACAAGACGTGCATCAACAAGTGGTGCAACCGGCACATCGTGTGCCCGCTCTGCAAGCGCCACCTCGAGGCCGCGGAGCCCCTCCACACCCTCACCGCTTCTTACAACCACCCCGGTGGCAACGCTGTGCAGTCGGAGCCTGGCCACCGCGGCTACGGCAATGGCCATCAGCGGCACCAGTGGCGCGGGGTGCTCGGGAACACGGCTCCCGGGCCAGCGAGTGCGCACGGCAGCGAGAGGGGGCTGGGGGGGACCAGGTCGGAGGACGGCATGTGGAACGACCGTGTCCTTAACGCGGCGCAGCAGCAGCAGATGGGCGGGAAGCACAACCGGGTGACCTCCTTCAGCTCGGAGACGAGGAGGTCGAACAACGCGCGCGGGCGACCCGGGGAACGGGTGGGGTCGGGGCGCGGCGGGGGTCCCCCCCACTCGAGCTCGGCGGGAGCGGGCATGGGCCCGCAGCGCCCCCAGAGCGTAAGCGGCTCGGCGGGCTGGCAGCAGCAACAGCAGCAGAACCACCGCCTGCAGAGGAAGCGGTCGTCTTCCTTCACGACAGCCACTGAGCAGCAGCGGGGCCGGGGAGGGTCCGGTCGCGTCGCGCACGGCACCGCGAGACATCGGTCGAGCGCGGGCAGCCTGGCCCGCGGCGACTTGAGCACCAGCCCTCGCTCGAGGTCCGACCTAGGGGTTGGGTCGAGGGACGCGGAGAACATGCGGGCGAACTCGGACGCCATGCTCAGCCGGCACGCGAGCCGGAGGAACAACGGGGCCGGCGGGACGAAGACGTTGACGATGAAGCCCATGTTCCACGATGACACCGGCGGGACGGAGGCCTGGGACGCGGATGGCGGCGGTGGCGGGGCCGAGGAGGTCAAGGGGGAGCCCGGTAGGAGGATGGCCGCTATTGCATCAGCGCCCGGTAGGTCGGGTTTGCATTCGAGCCGGCAGGGCCCGGCGGTCATCACGGTCCACAAGGTGCAGCAGAATACCCGGAGCAGTAGCGGCGGCGGCCGGAGGAGGCCTCGGAGGGAGTCTGGCGGAGGGCGGAGGGACTCAGCGCGGTGGTCGGGCGGAGAGAGCGAGTCGGACGTCGGCGGCGGCGGCGGCGGCGAGCGCGTGTTCAGCAGCAGGCGCATTGCGCACGAGGACGATAGCCCCGAGGACGACGAGGTCACCACGAAGGCCCTCACATACGCCCCCCGCAAGTCCCGTGCGACCGCAAAGGACAAGAAGGACCCCGGCCACCGCCGCCAATCGTCCACCGGCAGCACCTCGGCGGAGGAGTTCGGCGGGGGCGGCGGAGGCGGTTCCTCCAAGAAGTCCCGTCGCCGGCCTTCGATACCGGGCTCGAAGTCGGGGTCCGGCAATCAGAGCGCGATCGCCACCGCCGCGGCGACCGCCGAGGCGGTGTCGAAGCTCCTCGGCCGGTCCACGCCGGAGGACCGTTCCGCGTCGGTGGCGGCGGCGAACGTGGGCGCGAGGCGGTCCTCGATAACGTCGGACGGGTACAGCGACGGGGACAGCGGCTCGGACGCGAGGGCGTCGTCCCGGCGGAATAGCCGGGGATCGTCCTCTTCGGTTCGTGCAGGCGGCAGCAAGAGAACCGTCCACCCGCAGCAGCCCCAGCAGTCGCAGCAGCCCCAGCAGCCGCAGCAGCAGCCGCAGCAACTGAAGAACACCCCGACGAAGACGGGACCGGTGACGAAGGGCACCCCGGCCCCGCCTATGGCCGCCGCCAGGGTGGCGACGTGGAACTCCACCTCGGCGGCGCTGGCCCCGACGGTGGATGTGTCGCAGTCTCTCTCGATGAGCGAGACCGAGTGCTCCGGTCCCGGTTCGAATCCGGCAGCAGCAACAGCAGCAGCAGCAGCAGCAGCAGCAGCAGCGGCAGGAGAAGGAGCGGCAGGAGAAGGAGGAGGAGGAGGAGGAACGCAGGGAGAAGCAGACGCTGCCGCGCCCGAGGCGGGAGTCGGCGTGGGGTCGTCGCCAAGCGCGGAGATGAAGGGGAGCGGCGGCCGGGGGTGGAGCTTCAAGATCCCGGCTTCCGTGGGCAGTGCCGAGTTTTTTGGATTGGGGTCTTCGGTGCCCGGCACGAGGAAGAACTCGGCGGACGCGGCGGCGGCCGCCGCGACGGGGGCGGGGGCGGGGGCGGAGGGGGACTCGGACAGGGAGCGTGACGGATCCTCATCCCGGTCCTCGTCGTTGAGGGTAAGGGTGCTTTCCGGAAGGAAATCGGGGTCCGGGAAGGTCGGGGCTCCGACGGGCCGCCTGTTCGGGTCGAGCACCGCGCGCGTCGGGAGGCCACCGGGCAACAGCACTTCCGGCGAGGCGGGTGCTTCGGGCGTGGAGGCGGCGGGCGAGCACACCGGCGGTGGCATCGGTTCCTTGCGGTCGTCGAACTCCGTGCAGGTGAGCTTGGTGCTGTGTAGGACAATGCGTGTTTTGTGTCGAGTCTCTGGTACTGGTAGGTGTGTGCCGACACGTGTTGCGTTTGCGCGTCGGCATGTTTTTGTAACGGTTTTGGAGGGGGTGCGTCTCGAGGCCGGTAAACAGCGACCCCGAAAAAGCCATTCAAATGCAAGGCTTTGCCACCGCAATGTTCGTGCTCGCGAGATCGATCGTGAAGTTTAACCGGAGAGGCTTCGATGTTCATCACGCCACCGACAGAATCCTAATTGCCATAGACACGGTGCGGGATGTCTTGGCCTACCTAATTCTTTTGTGGTCCGTGGCTATGGCATGGCAAGGGGGGTCGTTGCTGTTGGTGGAACCACACCGCGACGGGGCCCGCTTGACTCTCGCTCACGCTTTGTGTGCTCGAAAGGTTGCGTAAAGTGGGCATTGTAGTTGAGCTCACATATGTGTAAAGCGCATCATCTTCTTCTTGCCGTGTTGTTCTTCTTCCCCCGTGCCCTTACCAGAATGAAGTGTGAAAGTGGCAGTAGTGTTCTTTCATCAGAAATGAACTGTGGAAGGAGGCGGTGGTAATCTCCCACCAGAATGCAACTTGATTTTTGCGCCGGTAGTGTAGTGCCGGTGCTGCCGTTGCTGGCGAGCCCCCCTTGTTAACCTTGCCCACCACGCTTGGTGCCGTTTGAACCGCGACCCCCTCCCCTCCCCTCCCCTCCCCGTTCAGGCGCTGATCCAGACGTACGAGAAGAAGGAACGCTCCAGCTCGGACGAGAAGGCTCCGACCGCCCAACGGGAGGAGTGGCCGTTACCGGCACCGACCACCTCATCCACGGAGGGGAAGAGGAGACTCAGCAAGACTGTTGGCAGCAGGTGAGAGCGCGTAGCTCATGTATGCTGCCGCTGCTGCTTCAGGCCGGCCATCCTTTGAGCCAGGAAGAATGTCACTGCTCGGTTGCAAGCAAGCCCCCCGTTTTCTCATCTACAGACTCCCTATTCGCACATCCAGACCGAGCGGGCCCTCAACTAGGAAGCGTCAACGAAGCGTCAACGAAGTTGGGTTGTAGTAGAAGATCTAGTTTTTACCACTGGATTTCGTCGCTACCCGCGTCAAGCACAGGTTGTTGTTGCATAGGTAGGTAATGTTGTTTCGCGCAAGGTGCTCGGGCGCAGCTGTGTTTTTTAGCCAGCCCTGTTTTTGTTGTTTACATATTTTCTCTGAAACCTTGGGTCTCTAATTTTACCGCGGAGTTTTTCTTGATTGCGGGTCCAAGCCGTTCCGTACACGTCTTCCCACATTACCCGGGAAGATTGATGGTCAAGTCGTTACCCGCGTGCTTTTAAAGGCGCCCTCCCTCCGGCTGCTGTACGCACGTCCTCCGAAAAAAAAAACTCTCCTGCCCATGGTGCTAGACGAAGGGGCACGGGATCAACCGCTAGAGACGAGCAAGCAGCAACGGAATCGGAGATCGATGAGGAGTACGTGGACCGACCCAAGCTCAGCTACAAGAAGAAGTCCTCGCGCAGCAGCGTTGCCCGGTCCGTTTTCGCCACAGCCGATGGCCCGCCCACCCAGAACGCGATACACGCGGTCCAGTTCAGGAGCGTTGGCGGCGGGAGGGGAGGCAAGGCGGGCGAGACTGACGGCGACTCGGACGGGGGGGGAGAGGACGACGATGAGCCTTACGAGCGGCCAAAGCTGTCGTACGGGGGAGGGTTGCGTTCCGGGCCCTCTTCCCGCTGACGTCCTCTTCGCGCTGACGTCCTCTTCCCGCTGACGGTGGGTCGGTGTTTCGGGAAGCTTGAGTGCCGTGGCAATCAGTGTTTTCTCCTTTTTTGATGATTTCGCGTGCATGTATTGCCCTTTCGGGTTGCGGCGAAAGGGAGTCAGCGTCAGTTTGGGCCAGCTTGGACGTAAGGAAGGTGCCATAGTCAGAGATCGAACGGCTTTTGTGTGAAGAATAAAGGCAACGGTCAGAGAGAGTGACGTGTGAGTGAGTGCAGGAGGGAGCCACACGGGGAGATGCAACAAGCGTGTCGGCGGCGGCTTGTTGGTAGTCGGACACGGCGAGCTCTTTGCTTGCGAACTATGCGGAAAGCGACGGCGCTTGGCGTACACCACTGGCGATGCCGATGCCTTTATTTTTCCAAACGGAGGCTCGCGAGGTCCTGTACAAAGTAGGCAGGGTGCGCTACACCTTCAACCTCTTTCTTGCTGCATATATTTGCGTCTATGGTGATTTGGAATCGTTTTTTCCGTCGTGAATGTAACGTCAATGCGTTGTTTCCGTCCGTCGTGCCGCTCTACGCAGGGGACCTACCCACCTTCAAAGAGGTGTTGCATTTCCCGGAATCCCCGCGTGCGTTTCTAGAGCTGGGCATGAGTGCGGGGGCGGGTGGCCGCACGAGTCGAGTCGGACATGGTGGGAAAAGAAAAGGTGGAGGGAGAGAGAGAGAAAGAGAGAGCTACTACAAGAAATGGGTACATGCAAGAAACATAAGAGGCAGTGCAACAAAAACGTGGCAAGTGCGCTGCACGGGTGGGTGCAGCTCTCGTTGTTTTCAGTGTGCTTGAGATACCGGGCGGTAGTGCTGTGCGTCCACTTGTTTTCTTGTTGGATACTATCTATGGTGGCGGTGGCCTGCTCTCTTGCCCGCATGCCGCTGATACTTATGTTATACGTACTTGGTTTCACTGTTGAGTGTTTTCGACCCTTTTACTCGTTACCGCCAGCTCCCCTGGTGACCGAGGTTGAAATGTTGTTGTTGGACGTGGGGAATCGGGTATGTACAAGTGTTGGCTTCTTTATTTTCGTGTCAAGAGGAGTTCGGGTTGGAGGGGGAGGCGTTTTTGATGTGCCCACTCATTCCTGCCTGGCCGGTGTGCCGCAGATGTTACCGACGAATATGGCATTAATAAAAACAAATTTCGTGTTTTTATTTTTTTTTTCTGCTTGGTGCGTGTACGTGTGGGTCGCGCACTCTTGCCCCCTTTCGTCCGTCCTCTCGTGTATCCCGCCGATATTCCGCCGCACATGTGCAGCGCAAGTTGATTGGTCGTTTTTTTCTGCTTCCTTTTTATGTTGTCCAGACTATTATTCGAGTCCCTTAACCCTACGTTTGCCGTCGTCTGTATCTATCGACCGGCACGGCAGCCTCCTCTCTTCCCTTCGCTAAGCGTCAGCGTGCGTGTTTTGTGTTGGTTGAGTCGGTGTCTTTTGCTGAAGGTGGGGCGGGGCCATGGGCTGGGCAGAAAACCCGAGCTCGCTGGGAAGTTGTTTCCTTGTGTTGTTTGTATGTTATCATGTATTGTTTTCGCTTCCTTCCGAGTAAGGCAGAATATAGGGTAGACGAGTACTACAATCGATGAGGGGTAGGGCCGACGCGGTTGGGATATATTGGGGGGGGGGGGTTGGGCTAGACATCCGACGCCACGTTCAAGTGGTGTGGCTGAAACAGTGCTCTGGTCGTTTGTACGAAGAGTCGACGGTTTTTGCAGCGCGGAGCGAACATAAGGACGACCCCTATTGTGAGGCATGTCGCCTTTCTTTCGTGGGGGGTGACGGTTTGTTTGTGGTATTGAGGCCTGTTCTATTTCGCTCTTATCTCGGTCGTGGTCGTGCATCCTTCTTCCTTGGTTTGATCAGATTCACAAGGAAAAACAACATTTTCGACGTTTTGTGGTGTTTTTCCTGTTTTCGTCCTCTTGGAGTTAGTCGTGCTATTATAGCCAGCTCAGCCAGATGGCGTGGACAATCTTGGTGCCCACCATTTAAAGAAAGGCGTGAGAAAGGTGCCAATCTTGGATCCTATATATATATACCCAGCCCTCGCCTAGTAGTTTTTTTTTTTCACTTGTTTGGGGGGCCGTAATCTAGCTGCCGAAGGGCACCACGTACTTCTAGAGTACAAGTACTTTGAAACAAGGTGATGGTGACGAATACGGCACTTGAGTGAAGAGAATATGCGGTTCGGCCGCGGAATGAAGTGAGTTGCCGCTCTTGACTGCGGATGGATGCGACCGCGGTGAACGAGGTTGGGGGTAACGCACGGAGGGAGGGGGGGGGGGGGGGGGGGCCCCAAAAAT